TAGCCTGTCCCAGCAAGGAAAAGGGTTTGTCCGTCATTTTCTGACGAGCAATTATGAACGCTACCCGTGGCTCACAGCCTCTGTGAAATGCTGCAACTCGTACTGCTGGGAATGCCTATTGCTTGCAACTGACCGATTTGGTGTTTGGAGCCACACTGGATTGTTTTACTAAGGCAGCAAGGAAACGGTTGGGCACTTACAAGCTACGGTGCGTTTAAAAACGTTTGGGGACACTCGCGTAGATCTGCACTTCAGTGAACAGGCACGACATTGGTGAGTAAATGAATTTTATTTTACATTTCTTCTTGTCATTTTATTTCGTTAGTATTAAATTCATGGTAACGAAATAAAATGACAAAGATACAAAAATGTATCAAATAAATCTGCTCACCTGCAATTTATAATGGCGCATTGTAGTCACCTTCATGCACGAAAGTTCGTTCAATCTCAGCTGCTCAACATTTTCAGTTATTTGCTGTTGAATCACCGATTTTCAAAATGCAAATGATCTGTTTATTTTCAAAGAATAGTTTGTTTTGTTATTGTTTGGTTGGTGTCTTATATGAAACTGCGACATTGTGCAATTTATTGGACAGACTTGTTTAAGATCACACAGCGTAATTTGGGTGGAATTTTATTTCGTATTTTTAAATCATCTTTTTATTTTTGACTATCTGTAAATTTAGTTTCCTGCTCTTAATTGTGAATGCATACTTGATGGTTTTAAATGCTGCTGAAATTAAGTGCTGCTTGACGAGCCTATACAGTATTGCGTTCATGTATGTGACGTCACTGAAGGCCGAAGGTTGAAATGCACGGCCCGCCACTGCATACATAACATATGTACGTGAATACGTATGAAATGTACAGTATCTGAATGTCCATCTTTTACAATGTAGCAAATCTTTCATTCACCAAATCATGTCAGGCACTTTGTAAAGTCTTTTTTTAAATGCAAGACACAGATTACGAGTTATGAGAATTCTTTCATTCAGGCACAATCAGACAATCGTGAGATGCATCGAGTAGAACGAGCATCAGTGATCGCAAGGTATTTTTGTTTTATATTTTTGCCTTTAGAGCTTCAAACAAAGTGAGTGTAGAGAGTATTGAAAACACTCTAGACATGCCATTCTCTTTATTACAAGCCTGTGTGCAATAAAGTGACCTAAAATGCTAGCGTGATTCACCATGGATTTGTTAGAATTGTTTTGAATCTGTCAGTAAGCGAGCAACGAGGCAGAGAATTTGAGCAGGCTTAAATATTTTGGGCATAGTTTAAACTCTGGATGAAACGGTCAAGAAAGTCTGATGGTTTAGGTTGGACCTGGGTTGACGAGGTGTTGAAGAGAATTCAACTTTTTGAGCTTGCTTCATAAACGTAACTAAGTATATATTTAACTGCCAAAATTGTTTGTTTGTGTTTTAACTTTTTGAACGTGATTTGATTTTAATGCAGGCGGTCCACACTGAATACAGTAGTCACAATGGATTGGAAATGTATTGAACTTCCTTTGTTAATGGGGGAGGGGAATCAATGTGAGACCACCAACCTGTATGGAGCAGTGCTACCCCAGGAAAGATAATCATTTGGACGTGGTGCAGGGCGTGGGACAATTGGTTGCTCCACCGCTGTAACTTCTCCAGAGTAGGATTTCAGGAGTGAAGCATTCTTGCTGGCCAACATAGCTCGCTCATTCCGACGAAATTTAGCTCGCCTATTTTGAAACCAAACCTGCAATGAGAAAAATAAAATGGGATTTTTAAATGTACACTCTGCGAGGAAAAACGCTTACAATTTCCATGATGACATATGACATTATAAGCTATGCAAATCGTATTGTACCATGTAAACGCTGCACCGATCATGACAATCAGGTCTAATTAGAGTGCATTTGCTCCCATCTAATCAATGTCAGCAAAAGACCAATTATTGTGTGGTGTGGATAAATGATAATTCCTGCCCGATTTCCTGGTAAATTGGTCATAATTGTTCATTATGTACGATCACAAATCCTCAAGTGTGTGCTCAAGACAAAGTTCGGCCGAGCCAGAGACTCGTGATTGTGCTGAAATGGAACAATAGCCAATTAGGCAGTTTATGCTCTGGTCAGAAACTGAAAAAGGAACAACTGGTTGAGTTGAGTGTTTGTATAACGTCTCCCACATCCTTTCCCACCATGAGAATACCCAGGATAGTTTGCAACTGTAATGTAGTAACCAGGTAAGCTTATATTTAGCCTAGCTAATTATTATTTATTCTACTAGTACACTTCCTTACAATGGAACCTCAGTTCATGAATGCCCCAATTGAAGTTTCCATTCACCCCCGAAAACTTTGAGAAAATATTGTTTCGGTATTACACACTATTTCACTTGAATGCAGAAGGTTGATTTGTACTATTTCTCACAGGGCAAAATAATAATTGGCTCCATGCATCATGTCTTGAAAGTACTTTTTAGGGTTTTTTTACTCAAAATTAGCCTTCTGTATGGCACCAAATGAACTGAGAACTGCTATTGATAATGCTATTAGGAAGCTCAGTTGAACTGGAGATCAGCCACTGCCCCATCCCCGCCATTGGAGTCGCGGGGAGGAGAGAAGAACACTGGAGGTAAGGCCAACATACTCTTAACTTTCGTTCTTGAGCTGGAACGGGTTCATTGTTTCCATCCATCCATTTTCAACACTGCTTATCCTGAACAGGCTCACAGAGGGTTGCTGGAGCGTATCCCAACTGACTTCGGGCTGAAGGCAGACTACACCCTAAACAGGTTGAACTGGTCTCAAGTCAGTCACAGGGCACATCGGTACATTGTATTTCTATTGATTTCCAGATGAAACATTGCTGTAGTTGGCAAATGTTTTGGTTTGCAAACAGTAAAATTAAGCATTCAGACTGCGGGTGAATTTGATTCCAATCAGATTCCTCCTGAAATCCGATTTTTAGGGCTGACTGCCCGCATTGTTTTTAGCAAGTGTCCAAATGGGAACTGACCCTGTTCAGACTGGGCCACACCATGGACTCTATTCGTGCCAACTGATGACGCATTTCCGTTGGAAAATACGGAGGCATATGAGCTTCCGACTTTAGTTTATTCCAAGAAACCGGGACGTCATCAGGAGGAAAAATTCTATATCTATCGCTAGCTAGCTAGCTAGTTTAGTGATAGATTTTGAGAGAGAGAGAGAGAGAGAGAGATAGCCAAAATATATATAAAACACAGTGATCCTCACTTATCGTGGTTAATGGGGACCGAGACCTCCCGCGAAAGAGGAAAATTCCCCCCAACCCCACCGTACAGGTATGTGTACATGTGTATGAGTATATATATAATATTTATAAGGCCAAATTTTATGGTATACATGAATACATAAATAACAAAATACAGTAAAAAATATACATGTAGTACTGTATATGTTGCTCTATGTGACTCACTGTTGTTTTGCTGACTTTCGCTGCCTCTTGCGGACCTTTTGCGGCATTTTCGCTTATTTTTATATTCTTTTTTTTTGATGAATGTTTTTGAAAAATTCGTGATGCACTGAAACCGCGAAAAGTGAACCGCGAAATAGCGAGGCATTTGTGGAATGGGTGCGTGCATATATGCCATTGACACATTTAACAGACGGCTGGAGCAACAACGTCAGAAGTGAGGCATCATCCAGGATATCTCATGTTTGGCATCACCGTTCTACATTTCGAATTTGCCTCTCTCTGGTCTGGGGCATTGGGCCTTGTGTTGTGTAGAGTGACATCACGGACAGTCAAAACTCATCTGTGTATTTGGAGCTGTTTCGGCTGAAATGCATTTTCCATCCATCCATTTTCAACATCGCTTATCCTGAACAGGGTCATGGTTTTTTTTTGGGAGCCTATCCCAGCTGACTTTGGGCAGAAGGTAGATTTCACCCCAAACTGGTCACCAGTCAGGCCACATATAGACACAAACAATGATTCATTGTTTGTGTCTATATCATTCATTCATCGACATCCACATCGTCACTGACTGGGAACCGATCCCACACTGCCCGCACACAAATCAGGCGAGTGTCCAACTCCACCATCAGTGACTGAGATGCATCCTGTCCAAATGGACATGAAACTACATGGGAATGGATTTTCACTCCCATTCCCATCCCACTCCCACAGAAACAACCCCATACCGTCCTGTCCCGGACTATAAAAACAGAAGAATAAAATGCTGTCCCATCCCATTGAAAATTATTCCCATCCTGTCCTGCTCCCATTCAAAATGACTCCCACTCCCGTACCGCTCCCATTTCCCCAAAAAAAAGTTTTACACTTCCTCTTCCTCATGGACCTACCGGAGGTTTTTTTTTTCCTACTGCTGGATAATCCAGCTTCCGTCTGCTCCCATGAACTTTGTATCCTTACCCGGGATTCAAGTTAAAGTCGACTTCCATCCTGTGGGATTCATGAAAAAATGTCATCCTGGAGTTGAGACTGCAAAAGAGCCATCCAGTTTCAATCTGGATGGGCTAAAAATTGTATTTCGGCTAGCAGGTTACATTTCTAAACAGAGGTTCCAGTGTATTTTCCGGTAGTCAGGATGCCCTATCGTATGCCTCTCACAGGTAATTCTTGGTACTACTACAGACATTTGGTTTGGTGGAGGAAGATTTGCAATTGTGTAGAGATATCATATTAATGGGCATCCAACTTTTGGTGCACAGACAATCAACTCCCTCTGTCCCTGAAATGCTACATAAATATCAAATAGCCTAATAAAAAAAAAAAACAGGTTATCAAAATGACAATTTTCATTAAATTGGTATCGAGATGAACTCTGGACTTGCAACATCTGTGCAACAATATTGTGTAGTATGTACACACCAGCGACGTTCCGTCAGGGCCTTCAAGGCCTTCTTTGCAGGCGCAAACATTATCAGAAACACAGACCTACATTTGCAACTTAAATGAAGTAATTTATTTCCAACAGTCTTTTGTCTTAATCTTGTCTTAATTTCATTGAGCATGTCTTGGCTGCGCAGCTTCCAGTCCTTTGTAGGCTATGTTTTATTTTATTTTTTTAGTCTAATCAGATTTCAGCTTCGATGTGTTGCCAGGTACATTATTTCATCCAACGTCTTCGGGACCTGGAGTGCAGGCTTGACCACACACACACACACACACACACACACACACACACACACACACACACACACACACACACACACACACACACACCACTGAAATCGCTGGTTCTTCTTTTAGCCAATCAAATTATAGATTCACCTGCGAAAAGCCATCTCACAGGCTCCATGATGAGTGACTTTAAGTTCTCCATACTCTCATTGGTTCAGTGACTATCACTTCTGATTGTTTCAGCTCAATGTGCGGCCCAAGCTTGATTTATGATTGGAGGATGATAACAGACCGCAATTGAAAATTCACTTTCAAGGCGTACTTTTCAAGAAAACCTCGATTTTATGAGGCTATTTGAAACAACGGTGCTTGTTTTCAACGTAGAATTTTTTTTTGGGGGGGGGCAGGGGCAATTTAAGAGTAGTTATGTATGCGTGAACAATTTAGCATACACTGGCAAATAGGAGCCTCTGCATTAAAATCTCTGGTGAGTACGATGTTATTATTTATTTAAAGTTTTCATATTGATAAAAATTGATTGTGGAGTACCATATTGTACGGTGGAGCTTTGGAGTTCTCAAGGTAATGTATTGGACGATAAAGGTAACTGTGTTTTTTTTTTCTTTTGGTAATATCCTCAAATACGTGAAATGCTCTTCGTTAATGCCACACATTGGCCTCTTTCATAACAATGCGTGTGAGTGAGAGTGCTTGGAAGGGAGACTATGGACAATTGTCTGAATCTGCAAAGTTGTTTTTTGGAACAGTTTCGTAACACGCTCTGCAGTTTAAACGTAGCCATAGTTGTAGTTTTTTTTGTTTTTTTTTGTTGTTTTTTTTTTTAATGATTTTTTTTGGGGGGGGTGACGTTATGACGTTATTAAGAGGTGGATTAGATCACTAAATACTCACTGAAGGCCCAGATCCAAAACTCCCCGCCCGACAGTGGTACACACTTTCCACACGTTAACAAAATTGACGATGTACAATTCATAAGCTACTTCTAATGAGTCCCTTCTAACTCACTAAACATACGATGATAAGACTCAAGGGCAGCTAATGTTGTTGCTCCCTGTGAAATCATATCCATTATTAGATGCTGGCGCTCACGGGGGCTCTCTGCATGTCTGCATGCTGACGCATAGCTTCAGGAATGAGCTCAAAGACTCAATTATCAAAGGATTTCTGCATTACTTTCTGCTAAACATTAATCACAGATGTGCTCCTTCTTCTCGCTCCAACCTCACAATTTCCTTTCCCCTATTTTCTTCTGTAAGAAGAGGATTTTTGTTTGTGTTGAGGGGCAGGACATGAACATGTCCACGCATATGAGTGTGCGCGTGGAGACAGAGAGAGAGAGAGAGAGAGAGCGGGAGAGAGAGAGAGAGAGAGAGAGAGAGAGAGAGAGAGAGAGAGAGAGAGAGAAATATTTTAGGGTTGTAAATGGGTGACGTATGCAATCAAATTGTAATTCATCCCAAATAATCGCCAAGTGACATCTTTTTAAACTGTTACTTATAAAAAGACATATTTCAAAATGTTGAATGGCATTTAAAGAGGAAAAAAAGGTGTGAAAAATAGGATTTGTAGCTGTAATTGTGCACTGCAAAGTGATATGAACGATACTTTGGTCTGTTGCTTGAAAGACTTGTAGAAGCGTGAGGGAGGCAAACGGCTGTTAGAAGCAACTCACTCTCTGAAATACCGAGTACAAAAGTATACAACAACAAAAATGCTGTCTTTAGATCATCGGGCTTTTCCAGTAGGTTGTGCACATTGCTCACTGTGGCAATGATGTAAAGGTTCATCTCATATGAAGTCAAAATCATAGCTTGTACAATGCACACCAAACACTTGAGCTCCGTCATTGTATCATCGTACGTTTAGTGAGTTGCTTGACGTGTAATAAAATGCTACTTGAGAATTTGGAAATAATTATTTGGTCAATTAATACTACTCCATGACTTAAGGACGAAATATATCATTTATCAGCTTTTTTGCAGTGGAGGTGAATACAACTGAGCAGATATTATTTGCATGTATTACATTTTAATGTAGTGTTTGTTCTTTTTTTTTATTATTATTCTTTCTGTCATGTTATAAGGCAAAGTTTTCATATCCATCGAAAATTGTATTTTTACATTTTTGTAACTTATTTGCTCAGTTACAATTTCACGAAAAACTTTTCGGCTGGCAGATCATGCAGGCTACCCACCGATTGTCAGCAAATATACGCCAAAAGGTGAATTTTTGTGTGCATGGTGTGGACAACCTCTTATCAGCTCTCCTTAAACCGACTAATGCAAAGTTCAAACATGCTCTAAGGTACTTAGAGCAATTGGCCTCTTAGTATAAACGAAGAACTAACAGATGATGTGTGATACTCGGTGCCTTGCTGTTTGTCCTGTTCCCGTGGCTACAAGACCTCCACTTAATGGTAAGAATCCCTCATATCACAGACTTGGAATCTCACGGTTGAGAAGTGAAATAAATATTTATTACATTATGTAATTACTTTGTCTTGAGATTTCAGGAGCAGTGGGAATTCCTCAAAAAAAAAAAAAAAAAACTCAAACAAGTACAATTTCCCAGCTGTCGCCATGGAATTTGGGGTTTGCTTAAAGCATAGCTGTAGTTTAGTCCACAGAGAACTCTTCCCCATGCCTTTTTAATTTTATGGCTGTACATTTGATCAAATGTTCAGAGGGGCTCCTGCAGGAAATCCCTCTCAAGTCTGTATAAAAACCATCTTTGCAAAAAATATGAAACCTAGTTCAGAGCAAATTATATCTATATCTATCTACCGGTATATAGATAGATATAGTTATCGATATAGATATCGACATAGATATGGGAAAACAAAAAGAGGAGTGATGGCCCTCTCCTTACCTGCACTCTGGCCTCCGTCAGGTTGACCCGACGAGCCAGGTCTTCTCGAACGAAAGCATCAGGGTAATGCGTTCTCTCAAACACTCTCTCAAGAGCCTGGAGCTGGCTGCTGTTAAAGGTGGTTCTGTTCCTGCGTTGCTTCCTCTTCTTCTTTTCCTCCGTGTTCATCTGCTCGTCTATGCGTAAAAGAAAACTAAAGTTAACTGTCATGTTTCTTTTTACTTTGTGCGTGTTGGTGTTTGCATGCCAAATAGACAGAAAAATCAAAGACAAAGACGATCTGAGAACTGATATGAAAACATTTTCTTCCAAGTCGAGGTCCTCGTGCAATGGATTGTATGTAGCTACAAATTCATAAACTCACCATTTGGTTTTGAACATCGAACGTTACATTTGGCAAAAGAAAGCAATATGGTTGTTCGCTTCATATCATGTGGTTACGGGCGGGCATGATCGTCATTAGTTTAATGATTTTATGGTGGATGAAATTGAAATCTTGGACTTGGAAATAGGAATAACGGTGGATTTATAATTATTAAGACCAGGCTAGCTTGCAGGACTAATATTGATTTACTGCAGTGATTCTCAACCAGGGTGCTGTGGCACACTTGTACACGGTAAGAGATTGTCAAGGGCGCCTATGGAAATGATTCAATTTCATGTCATTTTTTTCCAAAATATTTTGTTACTACTGACAAACACGTGCTTAATCTATCTACAATGCAACATATTGTGACAGGAAGAACAATTCAATGTTCTTCCTTTAGATTGACGATTTGAAAAAAAACAAACTATATTTCCACCCCTTACAATTCATACAAAATAAAATGTTTTGTGGCTTCCTGCAATGTATCAGCTTCGTGTTTAATGAAACAGGGCAAGATTTCACACAGAGTCAATCAAGTTGAAAGTCAACAGAGAGACGGGATCATCAATACTTCCGTGTTCATAGTTTTTGAAAAACTGTTTTTTGCTGGCTTGTCATGAGATTTTTCAATTTTGAATCTGCAACTTCTCGATAAAGGTTGGGAAACACTGGACAGATTACTGGATGTTCAACAGAGGAATTCAATCTCAAATTATAGATTTTTTTTAGATGATGAAAAATAAAAGTCAAATTTGGCAACTTAGACATGGCATGCCTACAAAAAAAACAATAAATATTTCAAATGTGTTGATAGAATGACATTTACTACGCTGAAAGGACATGCTGACTCTATTGATTTATTATCGTGACACTCCGAGAGAAGCCAGTTCATATTCGACAACTGAAATCTGTTTCACTGCTCCAGTGTACATATAAACCTGCAAAAGTGCGAAACACACTTTTTAGACTCAATATCCTTCACCAATAAGATAAAAGCTTTCATGAAATTTTTAACCCTCAATGACTGCAGGAGATCCGTACTTGTTTTCTAGCAAATTCCCCAAATTAACATTCTAAATTTGTGTAGTTTTTGTGATGTTAGTTGGTTTCGATTTAAAAAAAAAAAAAAATGTTTCTGACCATTTTGAAAGGCTCATTGAAATGTTATTCCATTGAAACTGCAGTGACAAACTCAACAAAGAAAAACAAGAAAATCAAAAACACATGTCATATAAATGACTACGATATGCACCAAAAGTATATATATATTTTTTTTTTACTTTAGGATTTGTATTGCCTTTGTAATGCCGGTGATGATGCATCCAATTCAATAACCGGGTATTTCTACAATAATTGTGCTTTTACTAATGATTGCCGAAACAGTAATTCTTCTGTTAATCATTTTATCTTTGTACTGAATTAGTAAATTATATTTTTCTGACAGTTGTTCTAATGGTTATGGATTTGCTTTTGATTTTCGGATCTGATACAGGTTTGTTATGATGGATCTCAGATGAAGACCAATATGTTGAAAATCAAATCGAATACAACAATCAACAAACAAGTGGTCCAGAAAGTAGATTGGGGCATTCTTCCCTTGCCTCATACAAACACCTTGCTTTCAGACTGCCGAGGAGGCAATACGGGCTGTCAGCACTGAGCCTGTTTGTTTGCTTGTCACCATCTTATCTAAGGAAAGATTACTTCCAACCACAGTCGCAGTCTAAAGACTTTAAACACAACTTTTTTGTCTGGCAGCGAAAATGTCATTTTGAAAAGTGCTTGCGTACCCACCTTGTATAGCTTACAACAAAATTTTGTTGGGCGTCTACATCCCAGTCTGGCCTGTGGGCAATTTCATTGTTGACTTCATAATTTTTATGGAAATGGCGGATGGATGCATTATTGAGTGTGAATGTAATTCCATGCCAGTTTTTATGGCACACATACAGTTGTGCTCATAAGTTTACATACCCTGTTGGAATTTTGGGAAATACTGAGGAGGGGGGAACATGACTGATGACTGAACTGGGACAATCTCAATATTTTCTTTATCGCTATCTTTTAGTAGATGACTGTGTTATTCTGAAATTCCCTATAGCTTAATTTGAAACATCTAAATCATAAAATAAATGTGATTTTCCGCATGCACTGACATTTTAGAAATTATGATAAGGGAATGCAATCTTGTGAGTAAAACTACAAGGTGCCGATAGGGATCCACAAGCAAACAGTTTTAAAACACAAAGGGAGGTTTCATCCACTTTTTGCATGGCATCCAATCATCTATCATAAAAAGCTCCAGGCATGGGATTCATAACACTATATCAAGTTGTGAACAGAAAAAAAGGGAAAACGTTCAGAGTGATTGGCAGTGAGTGATTGACATGTCTCTGGGTCATATTAGATTCAATTACAAGTTGAGAAGTTTAAAAAACGTGTTGACCTCTAACCCTTCATAAAAAACAAACAGCCGCCCTTCACACAGTAAATGAGAGCAGGTCAATTACCTAAATGATTTTTCCAGCGTTGTTAATGACCAAAGAGGGTCATCTTAAAATCCAAATGTTTTCTCAATTTCTGTCGCCTATTTTTTTCTTGAAACGCTATTGTTATAATGGGTCACACGTTTCAATGTTTCCTTTAAAAATGAGCTTGATAGGCCAATTGTATCCAGCGAATCTGAATTGAAGCGTCTTTGAGACGCTGTGCCGCTACATTTACGTGACATTTAACGGCGAAAATTTTACATTAAATCAAGTTGATGTCAAGTTGAGGATAACGACGGCGATTGAATAATAATAATAATAATAACAATAAAACCGAGATCGGCGAATTTCGTTCGATATAGATATCAGATATTGAGTGCGTTAATATAAAGGCGTGCGATCTGAACAAAATGCAGTGTCTAATTTAATGATAACAGCGCGCGTGAAAACAGAGTATTACAGGATATTGTTGTACAAGTTACGAAATATTTTGCCCACAGCTTCCATTCATAAATGCGATTTTCATAACAATAAATGGATGGTTGTTATCTAGCCGCTTTTAATAGAAAGCACTGAGTACAAAACTTATACTGATAAATAACAATAATAATAATAATAATAATAATAATAATAATATTGATGATAATTTAAAAAACGCAAATCGAAATCAATGAAGCATAGTTTTCTGTTAATTACCGATTCATCGCATCGGCTATACACTAGGATGATGAAAATAATATGAACTAAAGTAGTTCCTTGTGTTTTAGTTAAATTGGAGACATGTCGATGTGTGCAATTTCTTGTCAAATATTTGGCACTCAATAAACAGCAGATTAATCTTCCACAATGTACTCGCAAAACTGGAATTAGAGAACTCATGCGCTTCGTGTCTTACGTTTATTGGGCAACTGATTAATTCCACCTGCAGTTTTAAGTCCCAATGCGATCGAGTGACATGTTGTTATTTCATTCCTTAATTGTTCGAGCAAAGACACGTGCGTTAATCATGACAAACCATTAGCGTCCAATAGTCTGAGAGTGTTTGACAGGCCGAAAATAACCGTAAATTAACGATGTGACCCACTTCCACTCGCGTTTTTCTCTGCCACCCCTGTGATTTTTAGCTTTTAAACGTGACAATAACACTCATTAAAGCCTATAACGTTCGTGTCAAAAGGCCCCTTAGAGGAGAGGAGGAAGGCTACGATATTTTATTTTATTTTATTTTATTAACTGGACCGGCCTCTATAGACAGTCTTTATGAATAAAAATAGTAATTTCAGCAGTATTAGTATCCTGCTCTCTGCCACCAAAATCGTATTCTCGTTTTTAGCACATTCAGAAAAACAGAATTGATCGATGTCGTCGTATTCACTCGGGGATGCATAAATTCCCATCGAATTGATTGCCTAGTGATAATATCGTTTCAAATAAAGTTGCACTTTCCCAGTTATATTTAAACAAGACGCGCCGTGGACAAACGCGTGGCGATCTCATTTGGAGGCTAAGGTTTATTGTCACACGTTTACTTAACCAAGTTCACCAAAGCCATCATACTTCATTGGCATCAACGCTCGAATGGAGAATTAATATTTATGGTCGAGTGGGTTCGAGGCCGTCAGAGATGTCGAACTGCCAAATCTCACGAGTACATTTCTTTCGTTCCCGTTGCTCCTCGTTGTGTGCGCTCTGCACGCGCAATTGTAGGAATCAAATGAAAACGATAGGTTAATACGTGCGGGGTGTGGAGATTTACGCACGCCAATTACAATAGGCCGACAGACTTACTGTCCTGTTGGTTTGTGTCACTTCCACTGGTCAGTCCCGGGGATTCCATCATATTTCTCCCAGCTTCCCCGACGCTCTCGTCTGCCTGGTTGACAACCATTTCCCCGGCTTCTTCCAGATCCAACAGATGGCTTACCGAGAAGTTCTTTTTGGATTGCAAATTATCCAGGTTAGACGTGATGGGACTCTCCAGGCGGTTTGATATCGTGGCTTGCCTGTCCATTACGTGGGCATAACTTGAAGTCATGACGCAAGAGGGAAACGAAGAATTTGGTGGTCCGGAAGCTAAAAACAAATAATGTAGATCCTTTCTTGCAGAGCGTCTGTCTCACTTGTCAAAAACAATGCCTGCCGTTCTGTTTGGAGAGGAGGGTTATTTTTTTCATATCCAAATGAGCCACCGAGGGCTCAAACAAACGTCTGCAAATGCTTTGTCTGTTTTTTTTTCTCTGTAATCAAACCTCTCATGTATCCATACAGCGGTGATCAACCTTTAAGAACTAGAACAAACAAGCCTTACAGACACTTTCAGAATCCTAAGAAGAGAGAGAGAGAGAGAGAGAGAGAGAGAGAGAGAGAGAGAGATGATCTGAAGTCTGTTCGCTCTGGCTGATTCACACGTGAGCATGCGAAGGAAGGGCCGCTTGCCTGATGACGACCAGATGCTCAAAGCGCAGCGTCCTTTCAAAGTTTGCTCAACTTCAGTAATGCGAGGAAAGGTAGGATTTCGCCCCCCCCTCTCTCTCTTTCTTCTCTCTTTCTCTCTCTCTCCCGGGCTCCAGCCTACTCACAGGAGCCCCATAATTACGTGGCACTGCATGTGTCTGACTTTTAACAGGCCCCCCCCCTCAAGATGTCACCTCCCCCTTTGGAACAAACCTAACCATCGGTACCATCAGAACTCTTGGTCTCCTTGCTTCGAGGGCTGGCAAAGCTCACAGCTTAATGAGGGTGAAGGCAAGATGTTAATGCTAAGAACATGGCACAATAACAAAGAGGAGGTAAATCCCCTCTTTTTAACGTCATATTGTCTCTGTGTGTAGCTTGCTTCTGATGCTTAAAACCTCCAATATGTGGAAAACGGCAATATAGTGCCACTCAATAGTCATTACTACGATACATGACAGAGTCAATTTCCTGACATCACGTAATAATGATGCCACTCACTGAGACATTAAAAGACATGGTTGAGAGGTTCTGGGTGTAAATGTCAGCTCGGGTCAGTTGTGTGGAATGTGCACGTTCTTGTGCTTGTTTGGTACAACAGCTTCCTCCCACTGTCGAAAAACATGCATGTTAGGTTCATTGAAGACTCTAAATGGCTATTGGGCATCTAAATATGATGGTAGTTTGTGTTTATGTGACCTGCAATGGACTGGCAACCACTGCAGAGTGCTCTCCAGCTCCCCACCAAAGTCAGCTCGGAAAGACACTTGAAAAAAATAAAAATAAAATAAAAACACATTATGACAACTCACTAACTCATCGTAACTTTCATACTGAACATACAAATGAAGGAATTTTGACCCTTTAAGGGCCACGGCATGTGCCCTGATGACAAAATAATCATGTTATATCATACCAGGCACATCAAGTCTGTTAGTTGTGTTGCACATCGATGTACCTATTTACACATACACCAGATTGTAAAGGACTTTGGAAACCTTGCTGCTGACTCTTAAATGAGTTGGGGAGGGGGTGCAGAGTGAGCAGAGTAAAAGGGAGGGGAGGTTTTAGGCATCTCTTGAGACTCGAAAATCCTTTATTTTTTTTTTTGTTTGTTTTATTATTATGACTGTACACAGTATTTCTTTTCCTCAAAATTTCCCCGACCCTTCTGCCAAAGGGCCCCCACCCACCCCAGGAAGTTTTGCACCCAGACTAACAGCGTGCTTGGCAATTAGCCAGTGTGACAAAGTTTTGGAGAATGAAAACATAAACAGTTGAAAATTGGGTATCACAGTTTACGTTTCTGAAACAATCGTGTTACCGTTCCCTTCTCAACCCCGAAAAACGCCCATCTGCCCAATTATTCCACATTAAAAACAGAAATGGCAGAAAAGGCCTGATGTTGGACTGTGCATTTCAAGATAATGAGCTTGAATGAGGCACATTACATTACCATAACTCAGTTTGTCACCCCATGAAGAAAGTATTAAAATGTGCTTTTGGACTCAACTGGGAGGAAAAAAAGCATTTGGTGTGCAGGCACAGTACTCGTCTGGCATTAAAATTCATATTTCCAGTCATTTGTGCAGCTCAGCATAAACAGAGATTAATTTTACAGTGCGGCACACAAAGAATAAAAAAAACAATTGTTCTCATTGAAACACACACCCTTCGTGGGAACTGTTTGAAGTGGGCCTTTTTTTTTCCCTCCTCCACGACGACAGCCCCAGTCCACCAAGCAAGGTCCATAAATATATGCTTGCGATGAATTTTAATCAAGGTTGAAGAACTTGCTTGTACAGAGCCCTGAACTCAACCCCATGGACGACGACGTTCCCGTCTGAGCTCTCTTGTGCATGTGAAAACCACAGCAACGCGCTAGAACCGCTCAGAGTTAGCTTTGAACTGTAAGTTGACTGGATCGGACGAGAAGGGAGCTGGCTGGTGGAGGTGATGGTGGGGGTGGCTTGGGTGTTGGGTGTTCATGTGCTCAGATGGCAGGACTTGACTCATGGCTCGGAGCTGCCATATAGACATCCCCTAGGTTCCTGCCCCTGATCTGGGAAAAGAACACTTGATGCCATCAAAGGGAAACAGATTGAATCCAGATGTGTGTCTCTCGGTCTTTCCATGCATTTAATGAAGGCATGGGCCGCAGTAGACTTTTTCATCATTAGTTTTCCTCACAGATTCCATTTTCCTGCCTACAAGTCCATTCCACTGCCAACATCTATGAAGAAAAAAAGGCCTCCTCGTGTCTCGAACCCAAAATATTCTCCCGCCCCCCCAGGGCCCCTGTTCTTTGTTTTGCTTCATGTGAAGAAACTAGTGTATTTTCTTGACTGCTATAGTCAGCAGTGAACCAAAGATCAGATCTCAATCTGGAGATGAGAAGCAGTGATGTAACCAGCAAAAGTTACCGTTTAAGGGGAATTTTTACAGCTATGTTTCTCATTCGAAAGACACAAAACGTTTGGCGATTTAAAAAAATAGATATTTACCATCGTGTGTATGGATGTACCTTTTCACATGGCAAAAATACAAACGATTGAAACTTAACACTTGCATTGTTTCCATCGAAATCCTGAAGACGTTCATGTGAGAAAAACATTAATTTGTTCAATCTGGACATGTGCAAGTAGGTCACGAGCAAAACAACACCGAGTACAGTGCAAATAATGCTTCTCTGCACATGGTACAGAGCCACCGCTAAATTGTGTCATTTCAACTCAAAATGAATCTTTTGTTCATTTGAAACATGACTTTATGACTTATCCAAAATTAATAACTCAAACTTGAGCGTGTATAAACACGGAAGCTTTTGGTATACCGTGATGCTGAGCTCTTCATGCCAAATCAGCACAGCAGGAGCGTTGGGTGTGCTGGTGAATAGTTTTAGTGTCGTATTCGAAAAAACCCCAAAAAACTTCAGCTCGGGCATAAATAACAAATACTGTACCTAAAATCCATTACAAAAAAGTACAGTTTAAATTAATCTGTAGCAATGACTAATATGCAAAAATACAAAGCGTTGATAAAAACAAACTAGACTGCGGATTACGACAATGTATCTTCCTGATGAAACACTTGACCAAAAATGAAAGATACATGAAGACATGTCTATTGGCCATGTGTCAACACGCTATATCCCGTTGAATTGCCAAATTTAGGCTCCCACCAAAATACATCACACAGATACAATACTGGAGCTACCTTGACAAAGGAACATGTCATTTAGCAAATATGTACTCAGCTAATCCTAAAAACTAAAGTTACATAAACACAGTTTCAGTCGCCGTCGAAATGATAAGATGCTCATGTCTTAAAAGCCTTTCGCACCAAAAAAATGACTTATTAGAAATACCAGTGACCCTCCTGTTGTTTTTTTTTTTTTCCACAGCAGTTGATTTTGAGCATAGTTTATGCGAATAGTTTTGGGCCCACATTGAAGATGATGAAGATGATGATTAGGATGATGATGAGTATGGTGCTGATGATGGCCCCTGAAGCAGGACCCAAACCGCCGCCTCTCTGCCGCCGCTGTCCAGTGACCCCTGGTGCTGATTGGAGTATCACTTTGGCTCCTGTCTCGTTTTATTTCCTTAATTGGGAGTAAATGGCCTTCTTGTTGACTCTTTACATCCTGTGCAGGGAACCACATGTTTCTGACATGCTCCCCCTGATCTCTGCTTGATTGCAGCGACTAAACCAGGAATTCACATCCTCTTGAGGAATGGTGGTAGTTCATACTAGCCGTTGCCGTTGGTTTGATTAAACAGATCGTAACTTACTAACATCTCCCGGCATAAATTCCCACATCATTGATTTTGGGTTTTTTTTACATTCATTATTTGTATTATGAAATTAAATGCAGAACTACGAGACAAATTAAAACATGCATTTAGTGAGCAATTATTTCACAGCTTTTCTTTTATTCCCACTTTGTGCTCTTCCTCTTTATTCACCAGCACATGCTAATCGTTTTTTTTTCATGGTTTTTGTACGATGACAATACATAGTTAGCGTAGAGCCTCATTATGAGGCAGATATGCAAGCAAAAAAATATATTTACTTCGTTAAAAGTTGTCACGACTTTTGTTGTACGCAATGCATTCATCACTTTTTGCCCTTCATCTTTCTTCATTTGCAGACGGTCCAGTATATGTGTGTATAATATGCACACTTCACTTCACACAATTGTAAATCCTATGCTCATGGATCTGTCCGGTTCCGTTTTTTTTTTTTAATGAACTGCAACATTATCAGTCCCCAAAAAAGGAAACCTATGATGAATGACTCATTATTATTCGATGTGAATTCAGCTTTAAATATTATGATTGATCGCTGAAAAATATTCCAACTCCAATAGGCTACTAAAACTCAAAATCAGTAAGAAAAAGAGAGAAGCTGTAAAATGTACACTATTCCGAATCATGTTAGCTAGATGTAAATTGCTTTGTTCCAGTTGCAGCTATTATGAAATGCCCTATATAAATAAAGATGTATTGTATTGCATCGTATTTGGCCTATATATTGCCGATCACCCCAAAAATTAATGCAAAAGCGTTGACGGTTTAGTTCAACATTTAATCATGCAGTTTCATTTCTTCTAATTCTGAAACCAAGGTCAAAAGAGAACCAACACCGGTTTTAAACTGTTGGCCGATCCGTTGCAATTCTGTGGTGTTACAACATAAAAAGTGATGTGTTTCTGATTAAAATAACTAGGGTAGTTATCGAGCAAATGGCCACGTGAAATGAATTTAGCAGCACTAATTCTTTTCTTACTTATTACAAAACATTCACAACGCGAAATAAATCCGAGACCAGACTCTCGTTTTGGAACAGATCGTTAGAACAAACACACCTCTACTTCAGCTGTGCTCAGAATATCACCAAATACAAGTGAGTTAATTTCTCATTTTAAAGTCAAATTTCATTGTCTTTTTTTTTGTTTTTTGTTTTTTTTTAAAATCATAACACTCTCCTTTTGTGTCTTTTGGACATTAATCAAGTTAAGACACACACACACACACGCGCGCGCACACACACACACACACACACACACACACACACACACACACACACACACACACACACACACAGAAA